CACCCATGGCCGCAGCACAGACACCTCCTGTACAGTTTTCACACTCAGCGATGTCTGGGTTTTATGAGTTTTCCCAGTTTTCACAGGCTGGTGGGATAGTCAGTCATACACCTCAAGGGTCCTTATTCTATGGAGGTTCTTCATCGTCATCAGCTCCTCATCAACCTAATGTACCTACTCAGGACGACGACGACGATAATAGTGGTGATGATGATGACAACGAGGAGTCACAACCAGTGATACGAAGAAATCCTCCTCGAGACCGACAGCCACTGCCCTGCGGAACACATTCGCGTCGTAGGCATCAATAGATTTTTGTTTTTTTATTATATTTGTATTTAGTTTATTGGACTTTTTAATTGTATTTTTTTATTATTTCTCATTTATTACTTACTTTATTTTGTTAAATTTGTTTGACTTTTTTTTAATGTTTTCAGTTAATTTTGTTTATTACCATTTAATATCAGTTATTGTAATTTGGTTATCATTTACCATTTAATACTTATTGTAAGTTTGTTGTATTTAAAATTATTTTAAAATACCAAATTGTCTGATAACTTTATTAAGTTTGTTACTTATTATCTATTTTATTATAATCACATATAACGCAAACATCCAATCTCGTATTATTGTATCGTTTTTTTAATATTCATCAGCGATTATCGAATGACATTAACTTGAAGTAAATGCAAATCAAAGTACAAGAATTATTATTTGATAAACAAATACATCATTTCCTCATCAATTGTTACTTGATGGCAACAGAAGTGGACATGTTTTTATAGTGTGTCATGGGTTTCTACAATGTCCACATCTTCTGTCTTGTCTAGATCTTTCTCGAATATCCATATCACAATGAATTCGATTGGATTTTGGACGACCACGCTCCCTCAATAAACTCAGATTTGGTATAATCGGAAGCCAATCTTGAACCTCATCAGGGTATTGTCATTACATATGGGGGGAAACTCAAATTCGTATACCTTACAAACTTCAGATAGTAGGTATACGGGATCCACAAAATGGTTATAGTCTTGACGTGTATGCGAGCAAGTTGCTATCACATGAGAGCATGGATACTTAAGAACTTGAAAAAACCCGCAGTCGTACGTTCTGTCCCTTAGATTTACTCTTAACGACACAACTTCAATCCCTTGAAGAGGTCGCGGTAACTCTGTGACACGAAACATTTCATGCCTTCTAGAGAAGCTTGTTACAGACAGTCCATTTGATGTATAAATTTTTTTCTGTAGATCTGCAACTAATCTAGGGTGATAGACATGACCGCCTTGCATCCAGGTTTGAGTTTGTCCCCGAACTTCGCAAAAAGCACCCCCAAACGAAAATATATAATATTTACCAAAGCCGATACTGGTAAGTGACGTGCACCCTTTAAAGTTGAATTGATTGCCTCTGCCAAGTTGGTCGTCATGTGTCCAAATCGATATCCACCATCATATGGGTTCGTCCACATTTCTTTATCGATGAGGTTGATGTAATCGTATCCTTCCTCGTTCTTCGCCCGCAAATCTTGAAGTATTGATTCAAACGTTCGAGGAAGTAGTTCGTAACCTGATCAAAAAATGTATAACTTAATAACTTGTTTTCTTTGCAAAATTAAAACGATCGAAAGAAAACAAACTACATCAGTTTCAATTACCCATGCGCCAATTAATTGACGCTCATCATTCTTCTTGTACCTTCCATGGTAGTTCGCAGCAATGTGTCAGAGACAATACCTATGTTGGAAAAAGGGTGGTTGCCACATTGGACCCAAAGACTCCATTGCTGCTTTGATCCTAGCTCTGCGATCTGAAATGACACAGATGTTTTCCCTCGTGATAACACGTGCACGTAAATTTCGGATGAAAAAAGCCCAAGAATTTGTATCTTCTCCTTCGACAAGAGCAAAAGCAACTGGAAGAATATTGCGATTACCATCTTGGACAACTGCCAATAATAAAACTTGCTTTTATTTTCCATACAAGAAAGTCCCGTCGATCTGGACCACAAGCTTGCAGTATTTGACAACATTAACGCACTGTGGGTAAGTCCAAAAAACCCGGTAGAATTGGCATCGATCGCGGAGAACTCGATCATTATGGTATGCATAGGAGGTTTCGAAGTCCACAATTGTCCCATGATTCAACCTCCGTACTAGCCTAAACCAGCTTGGAAGTTCGTTGTAAGATGCATCCCATTCACCATGAAGTTTGACAATGTCATTTTGTTTTGCTAACCAAGCTTTTTTATAGGAGACAGTGTACCCATACTGCGATTATATAGCTGAAATCAACACAGCAACAGCTATATGAGAGCTTGCTTTTACCATGGGCATGATGACTTGACATATCACTTCAGAGTCCAAGTTGGGATGATCTAGGTTGATCCCTCCAGCACAACATGTGTGAGGACCGTTGTATACTGTTAGTTACCATCTGTTGTTTTTCCTCTTCCTCTTCGATACATGAACCATCCAACTGCATCCGTTTTCGCGTCGGGCACAATAGCATACATATTTTTCGGTTGTGGAGCGGTCGACTTTGGACTAAACAGAATTACGGATATTGTAATTTTTTATAGCCATCATCGCTTCTTCCTTGCTTGAAAACTCCATGCCTAAAGATAACTCACCATTATTTATTGATGAGTAATATCCATAGTCACCGAGATGAGGCATATCCGCAAATTCTGGCCCGTACATTGCATCATAATCAGCTTCATACATGTGTGTTGGAGGGTCAGTTTGTGCCACATTTGTTGAAACTTCATCTACATCATCATCACCATCGGAGTTGAATTGTGGTGATTGTGGGTGAATGAATAGTCCAGTCTCAGCACCATCCGCACCAGGCTCACGAAGCGGTTCTTCTGGTGGAGATGATGGTTCCTCCATGCTCTCCACATTTAGGTCGAAGAACCTACTACTGGCACGCATTCCCCTTGAACTAGAAGGCATATCTGGATTGAGATCGAAAAAGCTCGCAGTCGAATACCTCCCCCTGGAGCTTAAAGCCATTGTGTCAAATGGAAAATGCACAGATTGTTGCGTCGATGGCATCTCCATATTAAGGTCAAAGAAATTTGCAGATGAATGCATTCCTCTCGAACTGGACGCGATGTTGTCATACGAATTGTTCATGGACCCACCTCGGCACATATCGTAAGGAATTGCAGATGAATGTCTCCCCATTGAAGTTGATGAGTCGGCACCATGATGTGGACTTCCCATTATGACATTAAAATCATTACACATTACTGTAGTCGGGTTGTCAACTTGATCAACTTGTTCAGCCAGCCCATAGTGTGAGCTTAATGGCTAACCCCGAACAACACGCACTTAAACAAACTTTGCATACATCTCAATATCGTCGTCTGAATAATTACTTTGAGAATCAACCATCATTTCAACATTATCATTGTTCGATAGTTCTAACGTTGTATAAATTAATGGCAACAATGATGTTGGAAATATGTACTGCAACGACATTCTTCTACTACTTCCAACATGAACCTTCCTCGAAATCTTCGTTATCAGCTCCTCAAAAGTTATGTTTATCTTGAATGATATTTTAACACGCTCATTTAATACGAATACAACGCCGGTTTCATATTCTCAAATTTCTCCATCATAATAAACAATAGATGAAAGTCGCGTCATTCTTAGAGTTTAAAAGTGCAACAATATTATATATGCGAAAAAACAACGGAAACAAACCTGATTAAATAAATAATATATAACCAAAAATATAACAGAATAAATTTTTTACACATAACGTAAATAATTTAAATAATATAATTTTATATTATTACATGCACCGCAAAAATATTTCGACGTATGCTCACACTTTCTAATTCTACAAATACAGAAATTAATTGAAAACAATTAATATAACATTTTTTTTAAATAATCATATATAACTATAAAATAAATATTATAACTAAATTATCTTATAACGAAAGATCGAGCAAACTTCTGAATCAAATATAAGATGATTGTCGGATGTTATTTACTTATTCAAAGGATTGTTGGTGAGAGAGTTTACGGGAGACGGCTATTTATAGCCGAGAGAGGAAGCATTAAAGTCGAGAAGTTTGAGAAAATAATGCAAGGCGCGGTCCTAGCACCGCGCCTTGCATTATGCATGTTTAATAATTGAGATAATTGAATAGCACGGCCCTTGTCTCGCGCCATACACACGTATATCCATATCAGCATAAGAAGCGCCTCAGGGGCACGCCTTACCCCGCGTGGCTCCAAATCAGCGTATAACGTGTTGCAGGGGCACGACACGTCTTATTGTAAAGAGTGTTAGATCTAAAAATATAATCTGATCGGTATCTGGTCGAAAATATTAAATTAAAAGAAGATTTTTCCGGAAAAACGCCTAAATAATTTGTATGAATGAAGCCTGATTTTTATAAGTAACTTATTCCTCATCTGGAAAACTATGACAGATGTGAAACAGTGAAAGCAGCACATTTTGTAAGTTTAGCAATTAAAAAAATCCATCTTTTTGAAAAACTGAAAGCTTAATTAAAAAAAAAGATGTAAATGAATTTATATGTAACTTACTCTCTGCCAAGATTCTCATTCAGTTCTTGAGACCCATTTCTCTTTTCCAGAATTTAGCAATCCCTTTGTTTAACAGAGTACTGGAACTCTATCAGAAGCCAAGGTGGGTGAGTTTTTCCAAGTTTTGCATACATTATATGTTTGTGCATGTGCTTATATATATGTAAATGTGTCAGATTCTGACACGCATTTTTTCTCTCTCTCTCTCTCTCTCTTGTGTTTCATGCCAACCATGCATTAAATCAACTAATCTATTATTCTCTTCTTTTTCTTCCACCTTTTCTCCTGTTTTCTGCAAAATTTCCAGCTTCGTTTTTGTTTTTTAATCTCTGTTCATCTTTGAAAAGTCTCCTTTTTTTTAAAAGTAAAAGCCAAAGAGTGTTTTCTTTTTTGCTCTTTTTTACCTTTTCCATTTTGGGTTTTGGTATGGTTGGTTTTGCAGTGGAGTTTCTTTCTAATATAAACACCCCAAAAGGCCTTTCTCATTTATTAATTTATCTATTTTCTTATCCGGTTTGGTGGATTTTCACGAGTTGAACCGCCATTATTGTTGTTTGTTGCTTCTAATTATTGAACACATCTCATTTGATAAAATTTTATTTGTTTTGGGGTCCATGATGAATGTGTTTTTGCAGTACACCTCTTCTGGATTGTTTGTCTAACCTGTTGTTTTACTGTTAAACTAATATTAAATCAACCCCATTAGTCTGAATCTTAGTACATTTTGTTTCTCTCTGTAAATCTGTGACAAATATCATCTGTGTTTTTTGGGTAAAATACCTAGTGTTTCTTAATCTGGGCATTGGTCAAAGTTCTTCGTTTTCAGTTCTTCTGATTCAAGGTCCCCAGTTATTCCACTCACTCAACTTGTTCGAGTTTGTCTCTGAGGTTTTAGTTCTAAAGAGTAATGCAAATTGGAGGCACCCAAAATGGCAAATCTTGTTCCAGGGGTTCTTTTGAAGCTTTTACAGCATATGAACTCGGATGTCAAGGTTGCTGGTGAGCACAGGTCATCTTTATTGCAAGTAGTGAGTATAGTTCCTGCTCTAGCAGGAGGTGAGCTGTTCTCAAACCAAGGCTTTTACCTTAAGGTTTCTGATTCATCTCATGCTACATATGTATCATTGCCTGATGAACATGAAGATTTGATTCTTAGTGATAAGATCCAATTAGGCCAGTTTATTCATGTTGATCGGTTAGAATCCGCGTCGCCGGTTCCCATTCTTCATGGGGTTAGGCCGGTTCCGGGGCGACACCCCTGTGTAGGGAACCCTGAGGACATTGTTGCAACTCATTCTCTTGGTTTCCTTAACAATGGTAGTAAAAGTGGCTCTGGTTCGAAACCTGGAGAGAAAGTTAAGTCACCGTCAGGCAGTGGTCATGGTGGAGAGAAGGATAAATCTGTTGGGAGTAGATCGAATGGCGGTGCAAAGGAGGATCAATTGGATAAGAAAATGGCTTCTTTGACTAGATCCAAATCTCAATCGACTAAACTGTCATTGAGTCCAGATACGAAGAAGGAACCTTTGGGGAAATTGAAGGTTCATAGTTCGAGGTCGATTCCATCTTCCCCCACAAGTTGTTATTCATTGCCAACATCTTTTGAGAAGTTTGCCAATGGGATTAAGCAGCAGGCAGACATAAAAGGGCAGAGAAAGGGAAGTCCCAAGGTGGGATCCATGGAGAAGCCGAGTTCTTTCCATGGGATGAGTCCGATCGGAAAAAAGGTACCGGTCATCAAATCTTTGGTGCAAGGGATTGAATTAGGGGCCAAAGCTTTGAGAAAGAGCTGGGAAGGGAATATGGAAGTGAAAAGTAGGGACCATTCTAAACCGAGAGCTAGCAAGCATGATATCAAGCAAGAATCTCGTAGCACTTCGGTTAGCTTTTCTTGTTCTCGAATTTTAAATGAGTAAATCATTTGTAAGCATAAAATATGAGATTATAGAATATGATTGGTTTTTTTTTATCTTACATCCATTTTTACTGTTTTATATCAGTGATATTACCTTAAGAACATAACCTAAGATGAAGACTCTTGAACTCCGGTTCAATTTTAGGATATGGCATACATGTATTATATGGTTCTGTTTGACTTGTTGCTATTTTTTCCTTTTATTTAAAATAATTCATATTACTTCAAGCTATTTTTCCCGTGTAATGATTAATATTCGAATACCAGGTCCCTAGAAAGAGCACGTCAAGTGAAAAGTTGCTGTCCAAGGAGACTAAGCTCCAAACATCTACCAGGTCACTAAAAGAGGAGAGTAAATCCCCAGTTTCAACTAAGAAAATGTTGGATGAGCAGGAGAAACCGAATAAGCCAAGAACTTCCATTGGGAAGAAATCCGGAGACCTAACTAATAATGGTGGCCTGGGGAACTTGGTTAAGATTCCGGTAAATAGTAAAAGATTGACAGATGCAAGTATTTCATGGGGTTCACTCCCCTCTTCTGTTTCAAAGCTCGGAAGGGTATGAACCTACAACTCTTTACATCTTGATAGGATTCGTAGTTTTTATATGAATGTCTCAGTTAAGGGGTTATCTTGTTGTAAAAAGGTCGTATCTCCTCTTAGCAAATTCCTAGTGAAGAAAAATACCTTGTACAAATTCAATTAAAACCAACTTATATATTACTTCCTGGCATTCTGCAACGCATGGTTCCTTTATTTATTCTCATGCCGAATTTGTGTTTGTTGTTACAGGAGGTCTTGAAACATAGGGATGCAGCACAAACAGCGGCAATAGAAGCTTTGCAGGAGGCTGCTGCTTCAGAGAGCTTACTACGATGTTTAAGGTATGGCTATTTAACAATAAAGGAAATGCTAGCAAAGACATTTATTAAATTGATAGTAAAAGCTATGTTTTCTTTGTTTATGAACTAAGAAAGATTAAATACATTAAATGTATGGATTTTAATTCTCCATATTTCTCTGGTTAAAATTTTTAATATTGTACCCAATTTTTGGAACCTATAAATCATATAACTGTGAACGATCTTGTATGTGTTAACTTTTGTTTGTAACTTTTACCTGCAGAATGTGCTAACTGCAATAGAGTCCAGCATGTTAGCATTACCATTTGAGAGAATTTACAGAAGTTCACGGGCAAATTTTACATTATATTTTCCATGAACATTTGTTTCTCTTTTGTTTCTGATGTCTTAATATTCTAGTTCGATTGCTTAGCAATTTTACATTAGGAACTCAAACCTTGGCTTCATGGGACTTGAAACAGTCGAGAATCAAGGGTCTTCTGCAGTCATATCAGTAATATTTCTTGCTTTTAAGGGGGGAGAAAAAGAAAGTATTTAGTCTTTCATTGGTATGGTTAAAGTACATAATAGGAACATATCTCATCTCAAAGGGAAATTGAGGACTAAAAATTTAAATCTTACCTTCAGTCTCAAGGAAAATTACACATTGGTATTGTTAAATTCCAAATGCAAATATGGTCACAAGTTCCCAACTGCATTGGCCTTTAGATCAAAGCCGAAGAGATGGAACCATAACGGGGTTATGTAAATTCCTAGGTAATGGCATGATTAGCTTTCTCTTGCATACATCACCGGTGTGTGTGCTTTAACTAAATGAGTGAGGTTTTTCTTTTCTATAAGAGCTATTATGTCTGGCTATTTCCTTTTGGTTCTTGGTGTTTATTTTTTCATTAGACTTTGTTTTCCATCTCGAAAATACAAAGTTCTTTGCAGTAGGTCTTAATGGACTCTAAGTGGTTGGACTTGGGGAAAGACATCTAGGATGGTGCAAATTGAGACATCCATAGAAACCTCACCATATACACCTTTAGGTTACGTAACGTAGTGAGGACCGATTCTGGATTTTTTTCATGGTATTTGACTATCTATTTATGATGTTTTGCAATCGGGGGAAGATTATCCATAACTGATTGTTCTTTGTTTTTTATATGACATTTTTTTGTGTACTATCTTCATATTGCAGCTTATATTCTGATCTTACTACTTCTGCCAAGGAAGATAATCCTCAGCCTGCAGTGGATCAGTTCTTAACCCTGCATGCAAGCTTGAATCATGCTCGGATGATTGCAGATTCTTTATCAAAAACTATTCCAATCGGTTTGTCTTCGGAATCTGAAGAAAACCCCTCAGAAGAGGCAATGAAGGTCACATCTGATGGACGGAAATATGCAGCTTCATGGGTGCAAGCTGCAATGGCTACCAATCTATCGACCTTCTCGGTATTTACCAAAGAACATAGTTCAATGTCTAGTCATGCTTCAGCTTCTGCACAAAGCCAGAAGGCTATCTCTGCCAATCAAAACATTTTAATTCTGGAAAATTCTGCTAAGAATGCTTCTGCAAAATCCCAAGCGAAAACCCGTCCAGTAATCGGTTCAAAGCTTGTAGCACAAGGTATTCTTCGAAAAGCAGGGGATGTTTCAGGCATTGGCCCGAAAGTGCCAGTCGAACCACCACCGGAATGGACAAGGGGAAATGGCCTTGATGAGGCTGTTGATTTGGCTGAAATGCTGCGAATGGAATCCCAGGATTGGTTCTTAGGATTTGTGGAGAAATTCTTGGATGCCGATGTCGACACATCCGCTTTATCCAATAATGATCAAATAGCTGGGATGTTGACACAGCTGAAGAGTGTCAATGACTGGTTAGACGAAATCAGTTCGAACAAAGACAGAGACGAAGAAGAAGAAGAGACTACTCCACATGTTTCATCCGAGACAGTCAGTCGGCTAAGGAAGAAGATATACGAGTATCTTCTTACTCATGTTGAATCTGCTGCTGCTGCTCTAGGTGGTGGCGGGTCACAGCCACCGCCAGCACCTGTCCGAACAGCCGAAACAAAATCGAAAAAGTGACATCGTCAAGTACTGAGTGTCAGTGCGCAGCAGTGAGGCCACTCTAGTGGCAAAGATCAGTGCTTACTAAATTATCACTTGTGTATATAAATCCAACATGGGTTTTGAGGTATAAATGCAGTAATAAACATCATAAGAGAAGCTTTGGGTGCATAGTGCAAGTTTTTTTTTATTTAAGTTATACATATGAAAACAGCTTGTCCAACTTGAATTTGTATCTTTTTTTTTAAATTTTCTTTTGGATTAATAAAGAGAATGTTTTTTTTTTCAATGCAAATATATATTAGTAGAAGAGAAATAATTTTGTTTAAATTGATATAATTTTGAAAGTGAACGTTTTAACATAATCTTCTAAACGAAAAAATAAATCTCAATCGGTGTTACTCCATTCATAAGAGAAAATTTATGAGAAGAATGAAATAAAAAATAAAAATAATTGTTATCAAATACGGAGAATATGTTATCATTTTATTGTAGTAATAGATGAGGAAAATAATCTAATTATAATTACACAATCCAATCACTCTCTTAGTCTCCTCATCCTAAGAAAATGCTTTGACTAATTTACGCTACTCATAACCCTCCATTAATGCAAATACATACAAAATTTTGAATGTGATAATAGAGTAACAATGAAATTAACTACTTAAACATTAGTATTTATTTGGTTTGAACTAGTACTTGGTGAAATAAGTGATTCTTCTCTTAACATATGAATAAATATTAAACTTAATAAAATAAAAGTAAACTAGTGATATGGCTAATCTCAGATACAATCAAGTTTCGTGATAGTTCAACAACTTAGCTAATATACATCGGAATGTTGGTTAGTGCTATAGAAAAATAATCTAAAGTCTTTCATGAAAAGTGATTTATTTTTCACACTTCCATAGATGATTTCATCAAACTTATCTCAATATAGACCATCTGAATTAGGACTATAAAATCATTAAGAACATTTTGTAAGTCATAAGTTATATACGAAGGAACCACAAAATCTTATATGCGAAGTAAATTATATTATTTAGTAGTTCATCTGATAAGTTCGATGCATCAACTTCGTCTAAAAAAAACAAGTCTTGAATCATGAACTCATTAAAAAAACTCTTTCTCTTTCTCTTTCTCTTTCTCAGACTTAATTTCCAATTAATCAATGTTTTTAATTAGTGATTAAAAAGGTTCAATAAAGGTGGGGAGAACATTTCATAGATGTGAACTAACACCATCCCGCAAAAGGTGACGGTAATCAAGACAGCCCAAAATAACTTCCACGTGTCACTCATCCAATGGCTTTAGTTCCTTTAAGTTCTCACCGGAAGTAAACTTATCATTGAAGCTTATTTGTTAAAATTAAATTGAAATAAAAATACACATCTTTTTAAAAGTTCTTTTATATTACATTTGAGACAGATATAAAATTCGAACCAGTATAAGAATTATCATAAAAATATTATATTATTAAATTTAATATATTTTTTAAAATTATAAAATTACAATATTTAGTATAAAATTATTTTATTAGTATATTAAACAAAATTTAAAAAGTATATATATATTCTGGAAAATTCTGCTAAGAATGCTTCTGCAAAATCCCAAGCGAAAACCCGTCCAGTAATCGGTTCAAAGCTTGTAGCACAGGGTATTCTTCGAAAAGCAGGGGATGTTTCAGGCATTGGCCCGAAAGTGCCAGTCGAACCACCACCGGAATGGACAAGGGGAAATGGCCTTGATGAGGCTGTTGATTTGGCTGAAATGCTGCGAATGGAATCCCAGGATTGGTTCTTAGGATTTGTGGAGAAATTCTTGGATGCCGATGTCGACACATCCGCTTTATCCAATAATGATCAAATAGCTGGGATGTTGACACAGCTGAAGAGTGTCAATGACTGGTTAGACGAAATCAGTTCGAACAAAGACAGAGACGAAGAAGAAGAAGAGACTACTCCACATGTTTCATCCGAGACAGTCAGTCGGCTAAGGAAGAAGATATACGAGTATCTTCTTACTCATGTTGAATCTGCTGCTGCTGCTCTAGGTGGTGGCGGGTCACAGCCACCGCCAGCACCTGTCCGAACAGCCGAAACAAAATCGAAAAAGTGACATCGTCAAGTACTGAGTGTCAGTGCGCAGCAGTGAGGCCACTCTAGTGGCAAAGATCAGTGCTTACTAAAAATATTATATTACATTAATAATTATAATAAATACACATCTTTTTAAAAGTTCTTTTATATTACATTTGAGACAGATATAAAATTCGAACCAGTATAAGAATTATCATAAAAATATTATATTATTAAATTTAATATATTTTTTAAAATTATAAAATTACAATATTTAGTATAAAATTATTTTATTAGTATATTAAACAAAATTTAAAAAGTATATATATATTGTATACCCTCGTCACTCTTTAAAATATCTTTTTTGAATTATCAAATGTTAAACTTTAATTATGTTCAAAACTTAAATTTTTAATACTTATGATGATTTTTTAAATAAATTACATTAAATAATAAAATAAATCCAAAAGTAGTAAAATAGTGATAAAAATTATAGATCATTAATTTAACCTGTTAAATTATTTTTAAGATGATAAACATCTTATAAATCAAAGAATAAAATTAGATTAAACTTTTTTTGTCCTAATTTTAATTTAATTTAATAAATTAAATTTTCAATTTAAGAGGTAACATATGTCATTATTCGAAGATAATATACACTCGTGGAGGAATGAACTTGAGATTGTTGGTTGGAAGAGGAGTGCCCAAGTCACTTGGTCAAATGCTTTATTTGGTTAGTATTGCAACAAATTCTATTTGTCTTATACTATTGTAAATCATAAATAAAAAAGGAAATAAAAATCATTCAAATGAGGTTTTGAACCTAGATCAATTATAAAATATAAGAGCGCCTAAATCATTTAAACAAATATAATATTTTTTATAGTTAAGTAGATTATATATATTCTAAATCGTATTTAATACAATATTTAAAATTTAAAAATAATTATCTCTGTATTTTTTTAAATTAAATTAAATATTTTCACACTTAATTTTATAATTTTATATTTATTTTTACAAATATAAATATGAACAAAATACTGAATTTAAATCTAAAAATCTAAAAATAATAAATTTAATATGAAACAAATATTGAATTTAATTTACAAATATAAAAACACTTATGAATTATCAATATCATTGTCAAAATTGCTCAAGTGCCCTTGAAGTGAAAGGTTATAGTTACAAAGATACAATCATTGTAAGGATTATTTTTAGATCGTTTCATTTGCAATTATTCTTTAGGAGGATGTGTGTTCAAGGTTTCGTGTATAAACTTTAAGAGAGTTGTAATGTTACATCTTATCCTTAAAGGTAAGTAAATCTAATATATTTAAAAATTCTTCATGAAAATAGCTAAGAAAGTTGTTGTTGACTTAGTTTAAAAGTCAAACCATTTTAAATTATTGTGTCAATTTTGTCTATATCTTTTCATTATTTCCACTAAATTTTAAAGAAAGATTTCATCACCTCTTGACATTTTTTAACTGATTAATCGAATTAATAATACATATAATTAAATTAATATTAAATAAAAATATCTAGTAAATTTACATTATAAATAAAGAATTATCCAATTAAAAATATAACAAAGGATCCATAATAATAAAATTGAGAGGAATATTATTCCAATCATTTGAGAGAAAAACTATTACTTGGAAATTCTCTAAAATTAAATATGAAAATGCAATTTTAAAAAAAGTTATTATCCTTAATTATAATTCCTTTCTTGAACCAAACACATCTCAAGTATAGTAAAATTCTACAACACATGCCGTATATCGTAACGTACCACTAAAATGGCGTACTAAAACACACAACGAGCAAATTTATCTTTATTATGTTTTTTTTTATTTCATTTTTATACATTGTCGTTAAAAAGTTAACGACACAACTGAAGTGATATTTTTTATTTGGGTAAATTACATTATTCATCACTTATCTATATTCTCACTTCTATTTTGGTCATTAAAATTTAAAAAAATACAATTTAATCATCAAACTTTCAAATTACTTGCATTTTGATATCTATTTGATGATGTGGATTATTTTATTATTATTAATATGACATGACAAATTTATTATTAATAATGTCACATGAAATTTAAAATCAAAATCCTTAATCTTAATCTTAAATCTTCAAACCCCAAGGTCGATCTAAACCCATCCTTAACTTTTTTGTTGGAACAATCCATCCTTAACTTCATATTCATGAAAAAAAGAGTACCCAAAAACTCAAACTAACTATTGTTTTTTCTTTCATTTCCTTCTCTTCCCTTGCACGAGGCAGTGCTACGATTGAGTGAAACTACACAAAAATAAAAAAAAATAACCCTGCAATCCATACTTATCTTCATCAAGTTATTGTTCTTGTTCTTCTTTTTTATTCTTTTTATTTTGATTTTATGATTAGGCCTGCGAAAGTAAAAAGGGGTAATGTTGCTTTTGTTTATTTGATGATCTAGTGAAATGGATTATCTTTATTTTGCATTGAAAATGAGGGGAAGTCCATACCTATATTTTTTTGTTTTGTTTTTGTTTCATACTCTTTATCTCTTTTTTATTTTAGTTTTTTTGAAACTGTAACATTTTAAGAGGAAATGAGGAAGCATGGATGATAGCTTCATTCTCATCCGCTTCATGCGTTTTCCTTTTTATTGTTGCTATTTTTGTTTTTATATAAAAAAATTCTCAACTTTTTGTTGTTTCAATTATGAGTATTGAGCAATGTTTACATTTTTCTTCTCTTTGTGAAGGTGATGGTGGTGGTTGCATTATTGACACTTAAATTTGTTTATCTATGTTCATTTGCTTCCGGTCGCAAACGATTTTTCAAGGGATTCTTATGTGGTGGTCGGAGGGTGATGTCGGTTTGGATAGACAATTGGGGTTTGGGAATTAAGGGTTTGATTAACATTATAAATTTTTATTTTTATTTTAAATCTTATTTGATATTAAATATTAATTAATTTATCACGTCATACTAAAAATAACAATAATAATATAGTCCACATCATCAGAGAAGATCAAAACATAAACAATTCAAAAGTTTAATGATTAAATTCAAAAAATTTAAACTTCAGTGACCAAAATAGAAATAAGAAGATAGTTGAGTGATAAATTGTGTAGTTTACCCGAATAAAAAATACCACTGTGCCATTAACTTTTTAAATGTGGGGTACTAAAATGAAATAAAAAGTAAACGTTAGGTATGGTTTTGAAAAAAAATGAAAGTTGAGATACTAAAACATAATAAAATTAATAATTTGGGTACTAAATGTATAGTTTATCCATTTTTTTATTAAGAATAATTGGACAACGTTGAACTGGGCGATGGTGAACGAAAACACTGGATGTTGTACTATTTGATTTTTCAACAAGCTAAGGTGATTGACGGCGGCGACTGATGCTAATGACCGGTTATAACTTATATAACTTAAAAATTATAATTCTAAACAAATTAAATTACTTAAATTAATTATTATTTTTAATAAAAAACATAATTTAATTATAATTATATTAAAATTATAATTAAATTTTAATAAATGATTAATTTTAAATAAATCCTTATACTTTTTAATATTTACTTAATAAAATAAATTATTTGAGTGTATTTCGGTACATCATTTTATTAACACGTTGCGATGTGTAACGTGCGTTGTAGACTTATCCCTCAAGTATAATGATTGAGTTGAATTCGAACAAAATGTCTATATATTACTTAAATTTTAATTACTTCATAAAGTTATTTATGTGTTTTTTATTTATAAATAGTTATTTGAATTTACTAATATTTTATCACAGTGTGAGAGGTGAGAGAAATAAATGGAAATAATATTTACTTTAATTTTCTTCCTCTTTTGAAATAACTTTTTGTTTTATTTAAAAAGAATTTCCCTATGTCTTACAAAATAAAATAAAAAATTGTTTTTTTCTTCCCTAAAAAAATTCAGTTATTTTTTACCTAAAAATCAAAGTTTCTGTCTTTTTCTTCTTCTTCTCTCTCCCCCCACATAAACAAAAAGGAAAACAGACATAATTGAGTGCCAGCCCACAACTACCTACGTTTTCTCTCTCCGAGGAGATAAAGAACTCTTAAAAGAAAGTAAACCCATTTTGGAGAGAGGAAGTTTGAATCCAATGTTCTGTAAACCTTCATCTGCTATGCCCTCCATTCCTTGTTCCAGGGTTTGCTTCTTCCTTCCGTTTCGTTCCTTTTTTGTTTTTTATTTTGCATTTTTTTTCTTCTGTTGAATTTCTAACTTTTTTGGGGAAGAGAGATGAAAATGTAATGGTAAAGATCTGTTTCCCCCCCGATGTGGCTAATTGAAGAAATGGGCGTTTTTTTGTATTGTTATGTTCTTTTTCTGGTTTCTATTACTACCTCTTTTAGAATTTTTTTTGCTTAATGGCTAGTCTGAGATTCTGTTTGTGATATGATTTTTTTGCCGTTCCTACTGATCTTTTCTCACTTTTATTGCAATCTTCCAAAATTCAGTCGTGTTTTCCTATAGTAGCTTAATAAGGACAAATTAAAACATGTGTTAAGAAAGACGACTATTTTTTCTCTTTTTGTCACCATTCGGTGATATGAATCCCTTCTTGTGACGATCAGTGAGAATGGGGTGATATATGATAATTTTTCGGTTTTATTTTTTTTATTTTTTTGGAGGATTTTTCACATGCCCAATTATTTGTTGAACATAGCTACTTCAGGAGAAAAAGAATGAAAATTGGACCAACATCGGCTTCAAGTCATTGAAAGAATCCTTGACTTCGATTGGAACTTCGGTTCTGATAATTTTGTTTTTATTATATGTGGAATTATGGATATCCAAGCTGTGAGATCGTTTCATGCAGAGTATTGGTGTTTCCATGAAAAAGTTAGATATTGGTGGTTTAGGATCTCGATTGTAAGGACAAATGCTTCAATGTTAATTTTCATTATTATTTTCCATGGAGCTTCTCTAAAATCGGTTGATTATCATTTCAGGAACCTTTTTTCTTGTGTATATGTTGGCTTAGTATTTAAGTTTGAAAGCCTGCTTTCCAATGTTTTAGGTGAGGAGTGGGCTCTGTGTCTGGCCAGGCAAGAGGCAACTTTGCATTAGAAAGGGTCTTGTGTATGGCCTTATGCGCTTACTATCAATTCCCTTCAAAACCTTGCGTGGAGCGAGTCGATCTCTTAGGATTGCAGAGTTTTGCAGTGTTTCAAATATGTCTTCCTCATTACAAATTGAGTTGGTAAGCAAACCTCTTTCTATAATTGCAAATTTTTCACTATTGCTTTTGCTAGACTGTTTGTTGCCTTTCTTGTTTGACATGAAAAATGGTTCCTTCTACTTCTTGTTGTTGAAGGTTAAAATTACGGTTTTCATGTACATTAGATATGAACCTTTCACTAACTGTTTTTTCTCTTTTTTCAGGTACCATGTCTTGGAGACAATTATGCGTATCTTTTACATGACGTGGACACGGGCACAGTTGGAGTCGTTGATCCTTCAGAAGCAGAGCCAGTTATTGATGCTTTGAGCCGTAAAGACTGGAATTTGACTTATATATTGAATACCCACCACCATCACGACCACACAGGTGGGAATACAGAGTTAAAAGCAAGGTATGGTGCAAAGGTATGAAAAACTTCATCTATTTTTAAGTTCTGTCACCTTTCAGCCCGTATCAGATAGTTAATTTTCTCTCAAATTATCAGCTCATATATGGCATAGCTATCTGTAGTCTAATATGTCCTTTGGCTCTTATCCATAATGGCCAAAATAATAGTAATTGTTCTTTTTCATGTAGGTGATTGGTTCTGGAATAGACAAGGATAGGATTCCCGGAATTGATATTCTTCTAAATGATGGGGAAAAGTGGATGTTTGCAGGTCATGAGGTAAAAATCATGGAAACTCCTGGTCACACCCGAGGTTAGATTTGTTAGTCAATTCTGTTGAAAATCACATGAATTTTATATTTGAAAAGTCAATGAGAATGCATTTTTTTGTTATTGTTTTTTAAGTTTTATTTTGTCATACGCAGGCCATATTAGCTTCTATTTTCCTGGTTCTCGGGCAATATTTACCGGAGACACTTTGTTCAGCTTATCATGTGGCAAGCTTTTGGAAGGAACCCCGGAGCAGGTAATCCTGAGTCCTGACATTTATATTTTATCATATCGTTGCCGATTGTGGACACCATAAGGTCATTCATTTTAACCTCTTAATCTACATAAAAGTTAACCAATTTATTGCAAGTTTTAAATGTCAACAAATGGCAAATAGATTACTTTCAAGAGAAAAAGGTATTCAGCTATTAAAGTGATGCAAAATTATTGTTGGGGAAAATAAGATACAAAGCTTGAAATTTACTCATTTTATTTGCTAGCTAATGAAATCTTCAGGTTTAGAAGTTAAAACTTTTAAAAATTGCCTTTTCATATGTTATTATTAGTTTTGCTTTGAGTTTCTTGCTCAATTTTTCAGAGAAAAAGTTGAGGTACTAATGGTAGAGTAATTGTTCTGTGAAGTGGTATTCAAACATCTTATAATTTCCACTGGAAATGGGTGCACGGGAGCATATTAACTGAAATTGTAGTTGTCACAGCAGGGTCTTCTCTTTTGTTACTATTGTAATTGTATGTATCATTGTCATATTTTCGACATTAGTTTCTTTGTATTTTAACTGAAGGTTCATGGAGTTAAATTAAAACTTAACAAATGTTGATCTCTGGTAGTATATATCTCGATCCTTTTATAATCTGGCAAATCTTCATAGTTTTTGATATTATCATGACATCCGAGTTCTATCTGGCAGATGCTTTCTTCTCTACAGCGGATTATGTTGCTGCCTGATGATACAAATATATATGGTGGTAATGAATTTACTATGGTTAGTCTACTTCCCAATCACTTAACCTTCCCGGACCCGGACTCTGGATTCTGAAAGGCTCTAACAGTACACGTGTCCGTTTTGGCAGAGTAATTTGAAATTTGCTTTATCTATAGAGCCCAAGAATGATGCTCTTCAGGCTTATGCAACCCATGTAGCTCACCTTCGCAACAAGGGATTGCCTACGGTAATTTCCGAGAGTTTCTTTCTTAACTGGTTTCTAGGATCTTTTGAAGTTTAAAATGTTAAAATTCTACTAGTGAGTTATGTTATCCGGACCCTTCTTTTTTCCTTAAACAATCTATGCTTGACATATTTGTTCAACATATATTCTGGTGAGAATATGATCATTCAACTTTATGAAAAACTTTAAAAAATATGCTCATATTTTTATATAATGCCTAAATCAAGCTACGACTTAATCGGCAAAAAATATGTCCATAGTTATGTCAAACTTCTATCATATCCAATAGCCACATTTGGGTCCGAATAACATAGCTCATGAGCTTTGTAAAAAATGACCATGATCTGATTGAGGTTAGGGTTTAGTGTTTGAGGTCAGTGTATTTTGAATGGAAACATTCGAGAATAAGTTGAAAATGTATGTAATGTTTCAGATTCCAAGTACATTAAAGATGGAGAAGGCATGCAATCCATTCCTCCGGACATCAAATGCAGAAATCCGGCAGGTATTAGAAATTCCGCCGACTGCAAATGATGCAGAAGCCTTGGGTGTCATATGTCGATCAAAGGATAACTTCTAGGACTACTTACATACATAGCTATTACATATATGGTTACTTCATTCCGTTTGTGTATAGCTGAATTGATGGTTGCTCTTCCATTCTGAAACGATCAAACATCACCAATGTTTATCATTTCCATGTCCATATGATTTATTTTTTTGAAACTTGAATATCGTAAGCAAATCTCAACATATTATTTGCTTATTGATCATGTTCAATCTTTTTGGCCTTTTGGTAATAAAATGCTTGACAACATTTTGATTCCTGCTTTTTTGATGATCACCATGAGAAAATGTATGTTGTGTTTGTATTCTTTTCATAACCTGGATTTGTCTGAATTTATCTAAACCTTGTTCAAGATCCTGCTCTTTAATTAACATTAATTACATTAGTGAAGAAAAGGTTCTCCTCTTTAGCCCAAGGATTCCGCAACTACTTGGCATGGATTTCACCACCATTCCAGCTCCATGAAAATTTTCTTCCACAGTTTCGTGTTGAAAAACAGAGAAACCATATACCCTTTTGAGCTTGAAACTGGTTCTGATGGACTTCTTTGATATCTTCTCTCAAGCTGTTCATAATCACTTGAACTTTCAACTTCAATGGCTGCCTTTGCCTTTCCTTTGACGACAGGCTCTTCTTCTACTTCAGAATCAGAAACATTGTCACAGCAGCTTTCTTCTGAAGATGTATTGCCTAATGTGTGGAAAATTGTAAAACTTCCTTGCTTTGCCCTTTGGAAAGAACAGCTCCTTGTACCTCCACTGTATAATGGAAGAACAGATTTCGGATTTGAAACTGTTTTATCTCTGCCTAAACTGTAGGTCGTTGACAGCTTTCTCTCAATGCCTCGCCTTTCTTGAATCAGTTCACCAAGTTCTTCCATTGTTGCTTCATTGGTTACTGCTTCCTCTGTAGCCTTTTGCTCAAGCTCTGTAATTGTTCTATCAAATGCTTTCTTCTTAAGTTGAAGAGATCTCTGGAAGCCCAAAATAGAAAATTTTGAACATGTATCTATATTTTCATATCAGACACTCATAATCGAATCCGAATAACATAGATACAAAAAAGAGTTTTGACAGGAACTAAATGTAGAACTGACTCGTTTTTCGAGGAAGCTTCATAGGTCTTCGTCTTGAAGCTTCTTTTTTCTCCAAAAGACACAACAGAACCGCACGGCAGCAGCTAAAACTACCAATAGTATGGACTCCAATAACAGGTAGAGAATTATAGAACTTCTATTACCTGAAAATGAAGGAATAATTTAGCTCTCATTTGTTTCTAGAGGTAAAACTGTGTTAACAGTCCGAGTATTCATATTGTATTCGTGTTATATTTCATAATGTAATTAGTTTAATTTTGTTATATAAATTTCTACACATTTTGCAGTCCGGTGCATTAGTGTGGATTTAGTGATTATATTCTTCATGCTGTGTGAAAAATTGCAGTCTTACCTGTGTAGATACTGAGGCTCTTGCTAGTTCCTTGGGAGCAGCTGGATGCAAGCTTTAGAGCTGGTGAAAGGTTCAGAAATCTGTGTCAAATAACTAATTAAAAAAACAAGAACACATGACAGACGTGTTTAACACGAAGAATTACCATTGTTGCGACAAGATAGCTGGTTGCCAATCTCTGCAAAATCCAAAATATCACAGATGTGTTTATTTAGTTAAAGAAGCATTGATTTCGAGGTTGATGAATCTTACTCGAAGCAATGACAAAAGCTAGAAGCATGCCCAAGTTCTGCAGATCACTCTTAGACAATAAAGATACAAAATGGCCTGATAAAATCAACCATAAAAGATACTGAGAATGTAAATCCAATAAACAATATAAATAATGAATGATTAAAAGGAAGATGTAAATCACCATGATTGCTTTCAGACCAGTAGGTTTTGCCAGTGGATGGAACCATCAATGTGAAGACTGATCTTTTCGGTTTCATTGTAGAGACCTGAGTGAAATGGTCGTTCATATGGATAACCTTTCCCCCATTTCTGTCTGACAAAAGTATACTGCATAGCCAGAACAATCAAGGAAAATACTAAATTGAATCACAGAATCTAATGCATCTGCTTTAGGAAATTTCTTGAGAGTTCCAGTAGGTGAAAATGAGTATAGGAATCCATCCAATGAACCAATTGTCACCCAACCTGTTGTTTTCAATTAGAAAGTTAAAAGCAATAAAAGTAGCTATGATGTCATAAAAAGAACGTGCTACAGGTGCTGATTTGCCAAATAATATATTCAAAGAAACTGAAAAGACAGCTTGCAAGAAGCTAAATATGGAGGTAAAGAAGTAAAACTTGACCATAAGAATCAACCACTGGTGAAGATTCTGAAGAACTCAATGGCCCAATACTAGTCTGCCAGAAAACATTCCCTGAAGAAACGTCTAGTGCCAAAATAAGAGCCTTAACCGGTACAGTAACATATAAGAGGCCATTATTTCCTGGTGTAATGGTGTAAACCTTATCAAATGAACTCAAGTCCTGAATCCATCTAAACTGTGGACTTCGAATCGACAGTGAATGAAGTTCCCCTTCAGCGTTTGAGATCTGCATTTGCAAAAAAAAAAAGAAAAAGAAAAAAGAAGATATCATCCTAGGGGAAAAGCAACAATCTTGTATTAAGAGACCTGGATTTTTCTCAAACAGTTGGCATTCTAAAAATACATATACATTTTACATCAAACTGCATGTTAAACCTTTTTAGCTTAGAAATTACATGTAAGCAAACCTTACATAAATACTAGCTTCACATTGATCAATCACAGGGGCTGAAGCAAAATAACAATCTGAAACATTTTTCCAGCAACCTTGCCTGTAGCCATACTGATTCATCACAGGTCCAATACTCCAGAGTAGTTGTCCCCGCATCAAATATGCAAACAAACCCCGATTTTTTACATTGATAATAACAGATGAACAAAATGTGCTTACTTCAATCCCAACAATTTCATCTCCTCGTTCAGCTGGTCCAGGATCAAACAAAACTTGAATTGCAGGTTCTGAAGTTCCAATTTTCATGATATTGATTTGAAGTACCCTGTTTTCTGCAATCAAATAGATCTACTAATATTTGAACAAATCAACAATTACTGCATTTTGAAAGAAGAAGAAGAAGAAGAAAGAACCCATTAAAAGTAATGATAATTTTTGTCGTGTTGTTACCTTTCCTCTACCTCCATGAACTGGGGATTTAGCCATGTTGCATTTCAAAGTCAAAGGTAAGAACCAAGCAATGGAACCGTTGTTTTCGAATGCAAATAACGTATTCTCAGAGCAAGCATAAATTCTTCCACTGTCTCCGATTAAGGGCTTCGAAAGCCCATCACCGCCGTTTCTGAAACGTTCTTGGCCGTAAAACAGGTGTGGGTAATTAGGAAACCATGGGGACTGAGAAAACCCGAACTCGGAAGCCAACATGAAGAGGAAGAAGATAAGGAAAAGGATTGGTGGCATTGAGAGGTTTCAGAGGAATTTGAAACATTTGAATGATGATCAAGTTGCACATCATATCTGGGAAAATTAAAGAAAAGAAAACGGTTTCTTAACTGCCACTTTGGGCGGGCAAACATTGCAAACGCCCCAAAATAAATTGTTTATTCAAACACAATTCATAACATTATATAACTTTGAAAACTTTATCTATATATTCATGTCATGGTTTATGAGGAAATGTAGTTTTGTAGAAAAAACTATCAAATTTTATTAAAATTTATCTTCTGGGAATGTTGCAAAGTTTTTCACAAAATAAAGTGTGACAAAGTTGAAACCAAAAGTAATATTTATGTTGCAGCCGCTTGCTGCTCCTGCAATGGTAGTGGAATTGCAGGCCTCCAGCTTGTGCCGTTTGGGGAGTCCACAACTCTTTTCTAATTGCATCTGATGTTTCATACTCTTCCTTCAATTTTCCGCAAATCTTGTCTTCTGTTAACTTCGCCCGCTTCATTGCCTTATCCCTCAGCTGCTGGAGAGCCTGCAGGTTCAAATGGTTTAATGGTGAACAAAGTATAGGACAAGCGCATGTAACAACATAACCGGTGAGTTCAAAGTCGGCAAAATCTTCGAGTTCCAACCCAACATGAGTTCAAAGTCAACTTAACCTTTGTCATTGTGTATGCTCGTGTTAGTTTTGGACATTCACTGAGCTTATTTAAGCCCACTATCGTTGTTTAATATCATTTGCAGAGAATTGGCTTTCGGAGTGTCAATGGAAAGGATTTTTTGTGATTTTTCCAAGGCTTAATACGAGTATGTAATAAAAAAAAAACTTTTGATTTGGCTTAAAGGCAGTAAGAGACTTATTGGGATCAGTTTTTAACTTATTAAGGAAAATGACATATGATAATAATAAAAGTAATAAAAGTGAAAAGACTTAAAATTTGAAGAATTATTAATGCAATTTAACCTTAATTTTTTAAGTCAAATTATATATATATATATAATCAGTTTTAAAAAATTTATTGAAACTTTTTAATTATTTAATCAAATTATAACGCATAGAAAATAGTTATATCATAACGTATAAAAAGCAGTTGTATTATAACGCATAAAGAATCCACTCATAAATGTATTATTGGTGCAAATTGATACTTCTTACGCAAGTCTTGGATTATTTTGACTTTTTTGCCACAACGATATACGCTTCTTATTCTTATTGTCTTCTTATGATCATAAAGCTAGTTTAATTTCAATATAGACAAATAAAAACAAAATAAATTTATTAGAAAATCTGTCATATTTATTGTAGTCGATGATTATTGTATGTATTAAATTTGTGCAAACATAAATTTATATGGTTTTTCCTTATTTAATTTATAATGTATATAGTGACAGATCTAAGAATATTGAGCATATATATATATATATTAACAATAAAAAAATTTTGTATGTGGGGTGAATACAAAATAAAATTTTAGAATAGAAATAATCAATAAAATAGATAACTAATAGAAAGAATCCACCCTTATACAATATGCATGCATCGCTAAATGTATAAAAAAATAACTCATAAATGTATTATTAGTGTAAATTGATATTTTTTTAACCAAGTGTTGAATTATTTTAGTTTACTTCTTATTCTAATTTGATTTTATTATTAACATATCATAACAAAATGATTTTATTAAAAAAAATTATCCTATTTACATATTAAATTATTTTTCATATGAATATGTGTTGTGTATATGTTAAATGGTCATATAAACATAAAAAAAAACTTTATCATTCTTTTATTTAAATAAGAAAAATCCTTTATGTGCATAAACATCAT